GTTAGGTAAGGAAATTTCTTTGCGTAAGGTCTTATGTAAATAAATCCAATAAACTCAAGAATCAGACCTATTTACTCGAAAAAGTCTCAAGACAACCAAGTATTAAAGCTACATGGAATTCCGCAGGGAAATACTTACGAGAAATGAGGAGGATTTTTGGTAATACAGTTGTTCATTACCCTCTGCACCCAATAGTCTCAATTCAATCAGTGCACATGTTTCCTCAGTCAAATATCAAAACAGGAGAGTTTCACAATAATTCAGATGCTGGAAACTACTCAACTGCTTACTCTTCCCTCTCAGTCCTGATTTTCATTTTTTATATTCCTCTGATTGGACGTACAAGTGGTAGCTTTATTTAAGAAGGTACCATTTAGAAGAAAATGGAGGAACTCACCGCAGTAGGTTGGCTAGTAAACTTGCAAAAGTTGTGAAGCCCCGGCCAACTGTAAATGTGTCCTTTGCCGCGTAGGCGGTCAGAATTATTGGGTTCAAGCGTCGGCTCTGCTACCCCTTAAATTACCCTCCATCACTTGTATTAAAAAACCTTAACTAACCATCCATACGTCCTTATCTCATACAAAGACTTTTTGCAGGCTTAATTGCGTAACTACCCTCACAATACGAACAAACTCACTTATATTTACAGATGGTGAATTGATTCAAACCTTCGCTGCAACTACTTATCCTCCACATTGTTCCTTCTCCTCTACTCTTTTCTTCCTGACCTGGTTCTGCTGCTTATCCTGCTCCTGGTGGGGCGCTTTTCCCCTCCCCATACAAACTAGTTAATTTTAAACTTCATACTTATATTGAAAAATATACAAATCAGTAACAAGGAGAATGAAATTTAATAACTTTTAAATGATGACGACCGATGCTAGACACGAGTGTTAGCAGACATTGCACATCGGTGTGCGTTTTTCGATCAGGCCTGGTGAGCCAGATGGGTTGTGTTATAAGGGAGGGGGAGGATTTCTGGCGACTTAGAGTCAAAAGTTGAATATCTCTCTACGCCCTCGTATCGTTCAATAAATGATTGCGGTGCAAATGAAAGTCAAATTTTTAGGTAATTATCTTTATCATCTGTGTTGGAACCGTCAGGGTGGCGTTAAAGGTTGTAAATGTGGGGCACTTTTTAAAAAACAAAAAAAAAACATATTTACAATCACATCAAACACATACCACAAAATACAAAAGTTATTTTTATTTTTTAAACATCTCTTTGGTAAAATTAGCAAAATAATTAAACAGACCAACGATAAAAAGAGTGTCGTAACGCTTGCCCATGGTGGAGAAAGAGGACAAGCGGTACGGCCGGGCTTATCTGTAGTGATCTTGAACCGCCTCACGCAGTGCAAGTTCGGGAATGCAAGTTCTCTTAGACTCAAAAATTTCCCGGGAAAACAACTACCTTTCCCAGCCCCTCTATCCGCCTCTCCATTTCTCCTTAGTAAAGACCAGAGGTTTATAGTTTTTTTTAAATGAAAAAATTGAATCAAAATACCTCTGGTATTCCTTTCTTTTAAATCATATGCCATCAATACCTTAGGATATGAAAGAGCGGGAATGATAGAGCTATGAACTAGCTTGGAGATGGGCGTGAAATTATCCATTTTACTCAGTCGCGGATCCTGCGTTTGTATAGGGTTAGTTATTTCATCTTGGTGAAATGTTGTTGGAAAGCATCAGGAAGACCTTCACGATCGTACTCGATGTAGGCTGCAGAGTCGCGGTTATTTTGATCAGGAGATGACGTGGCTGGAGTTGTGATTAACTAGTAGGGTGGTGGCACGACCGTCTAGAAGCGCAGCCTATGTATACCGGTCGTCTATCTGTAATCTGTGGGAATGTGATATCCAACGTGTAACTGGCGGCAGGTATGGTGCGAACACAGAAGCGTGGGAGTGCGACGAGGGAAATATATGGAGACAGAATTCAGAGCGAGTAATTTAAGGATTTGGCGTTGAGCGCGCCGTGATGAATGGGCCTGAACGAATGGAGGACGTCTGAGGGCACTCAGCGCGATGTAGTGTGAACAGATGGAAATGTTTTTGGCAAATAGTTCAGTGAAATACACGAGCAGGAATTAATTTTGGCGAGAGGTTCAATAAATAAAGGATATTTTTTGGGAATTTGTAGTAAAACAAATGTGCGTGGTGTGTGGTGTATTATATATCTATATTATATATATTAAATCATATCTATATATAGTATCTATATATATATATATAGTATTTATATATTAGTTATATATATATATTTTCCGGGCGCTAACTTCTACTTGAAGTCGAATCTTCGGGGTTACGAGAAGTGCGCTAAGTAAGCACATTTGCTTACTACAAAATTCAAAATATCCTTTATTATTGAACTTCGCCAAATTAATTTCCTGCTCTGTGTATTTCACTAACTTATTTGCAAAAAAGTCATTGTATTGAATTTCGTAGTTATCACTGCACTGCGTGAGGTGTTTTACAGAAGCTGTAGGCGAATAATTTTAAAAATTGTTTTTTGGTAATGCACCCTGGCGTGTTTCCAACAACCAAATTCACAAAATCCTTAGTTCCCCCAAACAATCTTTCAATATACAATCTCAGTTTCTGAAAGGTCTTCCTGATGCTTTCCCACAACAACATTTTTCAACAAGATGAAATAACTAACCCTATACAAACGAGGATCCGCGACTGAGTAAATGGATAATTTACGCCCATCTCCAAGCTAGTTCATAGCTTCTATCATTCCCGCTCTTTCATATTCCTAAGTGTATTTATGAATGATTAAAAGAAAGGATACCAGAGGTATTTGATTCAATTTTCATTTAAAAAAAACTATAAACCTCTGTCTTTTACTAAGGGAGAAATGGGAGGCGGGAGGGTAGTGTTTCTCCGGGAAATTTTGAAAGGGGACTGGTGCAGTGTTAAAACTTTATTTTTGTAAATATGTTAAAGCCCACATTTTACCCTTTTAACGTGATTATTTGGAGAATTGTTGACCTTCGCAGAAGACCCTTTAGCACACCATCTGGCTACCCTGTAGATGGTTAATAGTGTCTTCATCGTATCATTAAAGTTATAATTTCATTCTCCTTGTATGATTTATTTTCTATATAAGTATGAAGTTAATTAACAAGTTTAATAGGAAAAGGGGCCCAGAAATAGTTGCCTCCTTTTTTTAAGGCTCCGCACGCCACAGCAAAACATCAGGACCTGACAACTGATTTTCTTTTTCTGAAACAGGTGTGAGATTTGGTTAATGAACAACATTACAAAACCTCTCGCTGTAGATCGTGGATCCAGTTGGTAACTTTCGAAGGATTAGTAACAAGTGTTTTACGAATTTTGGTTCGCGAGTGTTTGTGTAGTTCAAGTGGCTGACATTACATTAGGCGCTACGGGCACATCCAAAGGGTCGGTGTCATGTGATTGGTTCGTTTATGTAAGAGCATTGTGGTTAGAATATTTCCAATAAATAATTATTCAGGTTTTGTTTAGAGTTTTTAACTTTCCACAGAGTTTTTTTAAAATTGTTATTCATTTTATGTGTACACAATCATTTGCATTTACTTGCACAAGCGAGGAGAAAAGTGCATTTACGCGTATAGTTGATGGGATGTCGAAGGAGTGGTGGTGTAGATAAATTATTATAAGAAGGGAATGTTGTGACAGCTACCGTTTAGCTACTGCGGGCAACAACGGTAGTTACGCCAATGCGTCAGTTAATTTTGTTCGTAAGCATTTGTCTCGCTTGTAAATGTATTGCAATGTTATCTTCCTACATTATGTAAATTTTTTTCGCGACCTCTTAAACTGGCCCCTTCTTAGAGCAACGTCTCCATATTAAGAGGCCGTAGAAGCTCGGGAAACATTTCCCGATCTTCCAAATATGGGCTAGCTTTTTGTTTTTGAATGTAGTTTTCACATTTTTTAACACACGGGGAAATTTGAACTTTGAGCAGTACCTTTGATTCATATCCTTCAATCATAATTAAAAAC